CGACAACACCGGAGATCGCAGAAGCGCTTAATTCAGCTTAGGACACAATTTCGGCTCATATTCAGAAGATATGATTAGTGATTTGTATTCCGTTTTATTCAAAAAACGGACAAAACTTTCGAGCAGACCTTAGAGATCTCTCAGATATTTGCTATAGTGAACTTTTGAAGGTATGCTAATTAAAGTGAAAAGAAAAAGCATTCGAGCTAAGAATATAATTTATTTTCCCAGGCATTGACTTAAGTATTGATTTACTTGTTTTCGAAATGACTGGGTAAACAGGCGGATATGGCTAAATTGACTCATTAATTAATGTCAACCAAAAGCATAGTCACTTTGACTTCCACTATGTGTGTGTGTGTGTGTGTGTATTTTTACGATATATTGCCTTAATATTATTCCGATGGTAGGTACTATAGTACACACAGCTGACGTCAAGTTCAAAATTTTCCCATAAAAAATGCTAAAGATTTTTTATTTATTTATTTATTTATTTTTATTTATTTTTTTTTATTTTATAAATTCAAATCACGAAATATTTAAGAAAATGTATACATTTGTGTGCTTACATATATATTTGTATGTATAACTGAGCGGGTTTCGTAATGAAAGGTTAATGAACATTAGTCAGATTTTATGATTTTTCATACGTCATCATTAACGGGTCGTATCACTCATCAGCAGTCATTTGGTTGATTTTGTTCATTAACTGCAATATTTTGTTTTATTGAACTCGAAAGAATTGAAATAAGGTTTGTTGTTGTTGTTTTCAATTCTCATAGAATAACATTAATAGCCACTTGGGCACGTTTATTTATTTATTTTTTTTTATTTTTTCTACTCAACATATTAAATAAAAAAATACTTTCACAATCCTTCCCATATGTATGTAAATAGTGTTTTATTCAACATTAAATCTAAGGTCAAACAAAGCCACGAACTCGATATTTATGCATATAGTCACACACATAGTTTATGCGTTTAAATAAATATATGTAATAAATATTATTTAATTACTTTTGTTGTTATTATTTTCAAAAACTTACCATTAAACAATGCATACTTGCTTTATCGTTGCATTTGAGAAGGCATTAGAAATATATGCATTAGAAAGTTTATATAACATATAAAATATGTTATTAAACTTAATGGAATTTCGCTTTAATTCAATGAGTTATTCGTTCAGTTCAGTGAAATTCAAGAAAAATTCGGGAAAAAAAAAAACGAAATTTTTAATAAACTTTCATCAATGAATTATGGACTATGGTCAGAAATGATAAGAACCACGAAGTTTGTTTGCTTCTTTTGCCATTTATTTCAGGTCCCTTTGTCGTTTCATATGTTGGGTCGATCCTTCAATAACTCTCTCAACTTTTTATTCTGTATTGCACTACCTATCATCCAAATTCTTTTGTTTTTTTTTTTGTTTTTCGAATATTCGCTTGATGTACATCAAGCACCGCTTTAGCGGAACGTCCCAAATTCCACATATATGTGTGCATTTCCCGTCCCATCACTCGGTATCCAAGCAAGACTTCCAAGCATCAACTTCTATTGCAATTATTTGCTATAGTTTTCAAATTTTGGATTGAAACTACTTAGTAGTTGGATTTTGGAATTGAAATTTTGATTGTATAAACCCATTTACTATAGCGAGTAGATAACATGATTTTTCCATTGAGCTATAAATATTGAATATTATCCAAGCTACCTTCGCTTATAGTATTCATAATATTATTAAAATGATTTCTGTTCGTTATCCCTAATACTATTTGATAGAAATAGAATGAAATGAAATGCAAGTAATATCATCTTTCAGTTTTTTATGTAAACTATTATGATCGCGTACATATCATGACCATTAAAACAATTAGAAATAAATCAATTGAAACTTAATCTAACTTTGTCCCATATATTTATATATGCGTTCACAGTACACGATATTTTTTTACGATTTTGTTAACTCTTTCGCAACGGATGACGTCTATATACGCCAATCATTTATTATATTATTATTATATTTTTATACGTAAGTTTCAGAGACCCCAGAAAGTATATATATATATATATATACATTCTTGATCAACATCAAATTCCGAATCAATCACAAGATGAAGCTATCGACTTCAAAATTGCCAGAAAGTTCTTGCGCGCCGGTTTCATATTGAAAATGGAACAAATCGATCGAAAAACACACCTATTCCGCTACGTAAAGCGAGAAGAAGACCTCTGTTTTTGAAAAGGAATAAAAAAATCGATTTTTTGCTCATTACTCAACTAAACTAAAGCAGATACATGCACAAAGACTTGAACACATATTCTATTCTATGCGCGATGCTGTAGAATGTGTACAAAAATGGAGAGAAATTGAAATTGGCGGTCCGAAGAATAATTACAACAAATGGACAGATAGACATGCTTAAATCAATTTAAAACTTGATACTGATCAAGACTGTATACACTTTGTCTGTTTCCTTCGGTGCGTTGCAAA